CCTGCTGAAACTAAAACCATATTCTTCATTTACATTTTTTCATTGAAAGAAAATATAAAACACATTTTAATTTAGGTCTTTTCATATCAGATGAGGTATGTTGTCCATTTCACAAATTGCTTGCTTTGGAGAATTACATGACTCACATGGAGTGTCTGTTTAGCACTTCAGAGATGAAAATAGGGAACAAACAAGGAAAACATTTTTGTTCTTGTTAATTCTTTAACATTCAGCATTCTGTGGAAGATAAATGTGAATTATGGCAATTGATGTACATGACTTCTTTAGAGAACGGGAGGGAGAGGGAGAATTGCCTGCTGAAAAAAAATACAAGCAAAGGGAGCCAAATAAAATTGCCATCCATTTATCTTTTGTTAAGTTTCCACTTAATCTTGCCTATTGGGATTGCTGTGCAATTAAACATTTTTGTTAGTATGTGTACGATAACTAGCTTGTTAGCTTTTAAAATATACCATTTAAACCATATTTTAAGCTTCTATTTACTCGTATTCAAGTGGCAAGGCTATTCATCAGCTGTGGAATGAATGGTATAAAAATTGTTGATTAAAGGCAAAAAGAAAATCAACTAGCAAGCCTGGTGACTTTTATTTTGAATGTGAGATATCTAAGGGTGAGAATGAGAATGAAAATAAGTTTTTTGAATATGTTGTTTTGAACAGGGATGGTAGTGGTCAGGAAATGTAATTTTTAACACCTAGTGCTCCTGACAGAATCATAGTGACAGTTTAAGAAGAAACTTTTTCTCACTCTCCAATGTAATTCTTTTTTTGTAATGCAACTTTTCAATTCCAGATTCCTAGAAAGTCTAAATTGGCTGTTCACAGGAATATAAGGGATGATGAAGGCTTTATCATCCGACATTTTGCAGGAGCAGTGTGCTACGAGACGGTAATTTACTCAAGCAACACCATTTTTGCTATGCTTTGTAGTACTTGTCTGTTTTTCAGTATATAAAGGTTAAATAACAAAATTTCTTTTCCTCAGCAGAGAAACTCAAAAGTTGATATTTCTTAGCTTTGAAACTAGTTTTGTGAGTATGCAACAGAATTGAGAGTTTCTTTTAACTTCTCAGATTACAGGCTGTTTTGGTGACATACATTTTGTGTATGGCTTTGTTATAAATCTCTAAGTAATGGTATCAAGATTAAATATACTGATTCATGATCTACAGCAAATCTGACATCAACAGATGTTTGCATCTTAGGGACAGGAATATAGGATGTGATATAAAAGTACTGATAGACTTAAGAGTAGCTTTTCTGAAGCATGCTTATCCTGTAAGCAATCACTGTCTATGTTATATTAAAATAACATTTTATACTTTTTGTTTTCTATAGAATAATATATGTAAGAATTCCAAATACCTGAAATTGCTACCCTCAAAATACATTAAAAATTATTTTACTATTTTGACTGTTACTCAAACAAAAACAGTGAAACACCTGGAGCCAGTATCTAAAAGCTAGAGTTTTGGTTTTTTTAAAAAAGAGTATAGAATAAACAAAAAATCCATAATGCTTCATGGTTCTGATCTGTAACTCCAGTGTGTAAGAGAGAAAATTGTGGCAGTTCTCACAATCTGATTTGTGGTGAGGATGCTCCTCTGGCTGCATTCATATTCAGTCTTGTGTTTTTATAGTCCAGTAGAACTTTGGAGGCCTTGGACTCTCATCAACATTAAATCTTTTTTTGGGGATATCTAGCAAATTCATATTTTCTTCAAATTAGTCTTGGCTTCTTCTGTTCATACGATGAAAGTCACTATTAAAGTTGAACCAAAAGCTTTTGAGATTTTTTTTCGTGTGAAATTGTTTACTAGTGGCTTGAGTTCCGAATTTCAGTGTAATACATTGTTCTTAACTTCAAAAAGTTAGTGAGCCAATTTAAATAAACCAGAGAGGTAAGGTCTGTAGGAAGGCATAATATCTTTAAGTCAACTGCTTTTAAATAGTCACAGTACTACTGAAATAAACATTTTTAAATTTCATTTTTTTCCAAACAGTGTAATTGTACCAATTAAAGTGTGTTTGTTAAAGTAAAGAATAAAGCTTCTCAGAACTCCCAAGTGATGGTTAATCATGGACAAAAACTCTTTAAAGGCACAAACCTTACATTGGGTTTCATTATTCCAACAACACCCTTCAAATTTAAGCATAGCTTTTCTCTCTATCATTAGTGTTTTGTGTGTCTAGTTGAAAAGTTGTTTGAATTAATGTAATAATATTTACCCCACGTATTCAAGCTGATTTTTAATTGAATATTTAACTATTTTCTTTACTTTTATTTAAGACTTAGGTAACACAAATGTGCTATTATTTTTTGGGTTGTCTTTTCAGACGCAATTTGTGGAAAAAAACAATGATGCTTTGCACATGTCCCTTGAGTCTCTTATATGTGAATCCAAGGACAAGTTTGTTCGCCAGCTGTTTGAATCTAATACTAACAACAACAAGGATCCCAAACAAAAAGCTGGGAAACTTAGTTTCATCAGCGTGGGAAACAAATTCAAGGTAACATAATATAGCAAAGAATCTTATCTTAGAATCATGGAATAATTGAATAGTTTGGGTTGGAAGGGACCAGAAAGATCATCTGCTTCCAAACCACCTGCCACGGGCAGGGACACCTCCCACCAGACCAGGTTGCTCAAAGCCCCATGCAACCTTCCCTTGAAACACTTTCAGGGAAAGACCATCCACAACCGCCCTGGCAACTTGGGCCAGTGTCTCACCTCCCTCACAGTAAAAAATTTCTTCCTAATGTCTAATCTAAATCTACCCTCTTTTAATTTGAAACTGTCCTCCCTTGTCCTAGCACTACATGCCTTTCTAAAAAGTCCCTTTCCAGCTTTTTTGCAAGTCCCCTTCTTGTAATCTATGCTACTTTTAATTTACTTGAAGTAAGTAGAACCTAAGGTTGGGAGAACTAGTTGTAACGGGATTAATTCATACAAAGAAAATTTTGTTAAATAGACATTTTTCTGTTGAATTATAAGAAAACAGTATATTTAAGCTATGTGCAATGCATTCCTGTCAGAAAGATTTTTCATAGTAATCCTTACAAGGATTACACAGCAATTTTAAAGTCAGAATTTTACAAAGCCACATGGAAGTCTTTATTCACAAGGTTTAAAGTCTTGAGAATTGAATTTGTAATCTGTGAAACAAGGGATTCTAAATGTGACAGAAGGTGTTCTTCCATCCTGTCTAAATCCTATATTCTAGATGTATCAATTTGCTATGGTTTGCCATTCTCAAAATTCAACACCTAACCTAACCACTGTTTTTCCTCTTCCAAAATATAAAGATAGTCATAGCTTTCACCAAAATATGTTCATTGTGCTAAGTTTTTCCTTTCTCAGTACCTGAGCCTGATGCCTCTCCTAATTTTCTCCTTTCTTCTACTTGTTGTAAAGCTGACCTTCAAACCTTGTCTTCTCCAAATGTCTTCTACATCCTTTTCTCATTCAGCAGTTTTATTTTAGCTGGGCTATTCCAGCTCAGGATGGCTAGGAAGAGAACAATAGGGGAATTAAGAGATGAAAAGCAGGCACAACCGTTGGCTGCAGGTAAATTTTTTAATCTCATGGATTTAATATTGGTAGAGCTGCTGCAGTTTCAGCAAGAGCTCTTCTCAACGCATCTGGGCCAGATCCAATGAAGGATTTGTGTGCCTTCAAGTCAAGCACTGCAACATTTTTGGTATGCTACCTCACCTAGGGCAGCTAAAACTGCACATCACATTCCTAGCTAGCCTCCTTATGCAGTCCCTGGGGAAAGCAAGTACCTTGGACAATCCAAAAATCTTATTGTGGAGTGGGGCACTGCCAATAGCAGAAGAACATTTCTGCTCCATGTCAAGATTCAGTGCTGAATCAGGACTGTAAGGTAAATTTCTTCTTGCATTATGGTATATTGTGGCTAGTGTTTAGAACTATTCTTGTAAGAATGATAGGTCTGAAGAACAGGAGGGATATGATAGCACCACTTACTTTTTGTATAGCAACAGTATTCTGCTTCAGGTCTATACTGTGTTCAATATTTTATGTCTGCTCTATTTCCCATAGTATCAAGTTATCAATCAGTTTGTCACAAGAGGATTCTCCTTATACCCTTCTGGAGATGGATTGTTAGGTAGCCAGAAATTAAATTATGGTGGGGCCAGTAAGTGTAGGAGACAGAGCTTGACTTGTAAGGTTGTGGTTTTGGTGTTTACCTGGGTAATTGCATAGCCTGCTCTCTTGAGTTCTACTCTGACAACTGTTTCCTCCTCCTTATTATATAGTGGTTGTGGAATTAAACTGTAACAATTGGTTTACTATAAAATGCATGATCAGAAGGCAGACTGAAAAGTGGAATTACATACAGATGAGCCATCTCCTGAGCAAGCTCTGCATAATGAGTCTCTTATAGGTGAAGCTAAGAGCCATTGTTTTTTATAACTGCATTTTCAAAATGAAACCAACTGTAGGATCTTTGTTATAATTTTCACTTTGTTCCATTGGAGTTCTTAAATCCTCTTGGATTTAGAACCCCACATCTAGTAGATGTGGACATGTGAATGATATTATTGTCCAAGGAGGGCTGAAGTAAAAAATGATGCATTTTTTTAAGTTAAGCGGTGATGGAGCAGAAAACTTTTCTGATTGCTTTTTGGACTTGGGTGTTCACCTCTGCACCTAGAACATGACTAAAGTCCTCTTTGGATCTGGCCCATCAGTCTATAATTCTTTCAGTGTTTTCAAGTTTCATGGCATTTTGAATGTATGTGTTACTCCCAGTAATTCATTTAGTTTTACCTTCCCAGACGCTATATGTGCTGCTGATGAACAGTAATAGCCTTGAAAATGTCACTTCAGATAATGTCAAAATAAGTTCTATAATCTTAGTAGAAATTTAATCTCTTTAAGAGTTCTTAGTGCATCAGTATGTAAGTCAGTCTTGAATTCCGATTACATTAATTATTAGATGATGTTGCAAGGGCTCTCTATGAAATCCTTCACACATCCATTCCTTATAACTAATTAAAATTAATTCACAGAAACCAGTTGAGGAAATAATGATTAATTAGTTCCTCAGATATACTTAAGAATCTTTGGGATAATTTTACCTTAATATTATAATGGATTAAATAGTTAGAATTCAAAGAGCAGTAGTTTTAGCAATATGTTTTATGCATGTGATAATTTCATTAGTGAAATTTACCTGAGAATGGCTCTGGCTTATTTCTTGTCAAATTAGAGTATAAGGAAGGGGTATTTTTCTTTAAGTGCAAACTTAATTTGTTGATGGAAATTAGGCTGTTCCCTCCAAAATTAAGCATTTCTATCTAAGAAATTAAACATTTCTAAGAAAATACAAAGATTATATTCAAGTAGACATAAATAGTATGAATAAGTGAGAACTGAACAGGAGGTTATTAGTGTTTGTCATGCCTCTTGTGGCACTGCTTCTCTATTTCTATCCATACCCGTGATAAGTTAAAAAAAAATGAAGCCAATTTTATGCACTGAAGGATGACTGGCAGCTGTAGGTTGTCGGTGTGCCTGGCCGGCTAGTGGAGGTGTATTCCAGCGAGGGAAGAATGCAAGACAATCAATATGATTGATAGAGCAAACTCCCACTTTATTAGAAATTACAGGCACTTATATACCCTTAGCCCAGATTTTGCATGTCCAGGGTTGCACTTATGATTGGTCAGTTGTACTAGAGCCTGCCACGGTCTGAACAGTGACTGGCTCCTTGGCCCAGGCTCAATCAGGACTCTCTACCCCATCTCCTCCTCTGGCACGTTTGGATGTTTACTTCGTTAGCTCAGTTTTATCAACTGGTTCTCATGAGAGAGTCCTCGGTTGTTGAGGCCCAGGTGTTCTATCAGTAAAAACAGGATTGCTCACATATCCGTTGTTTATTAAAACAGTCTGCAACAGTAGGTGACACATGTTACAAATCAGATTTCTTTGATTCACTGTAATTGAATGATCTAGTTAAGAAAATAAATAAATAGTCCAATCCTTTATTTTCGTTCCCATTCAGAAAGTTAGGAATATGTTAGGATATGCAGAATTTTGTCTTTGATTCAGTCTATATCCTTAATGCTTACTAGTAAACTAGAAAGGCTGGCACAGCAGTAATCTATGTGGTAAAACAAACAGCTATAAAGTAAAAGTATAACTGTTTTCCTCCTGAGGTTCTGGAATATTATAGGTTCCTACCAATTACATTCAATAACAACAGTAACTCATTTTCCCTGATAGCTTTAAGTCTGTGGTGTTCCTGTAGTCATAGGACTGTGATCTTTTACTTACCATGGTATGATTAGATCTAGCCTCAGTAAATATATTAAAATTGTAGTCTGTTGTCATCAACAGATAATTAAAAATAGTTTATGCAAGTTCATTCACCAAAATGTTGACTAAGCTTCAAAACCACCAAGAAAAACCCTGAACATACATGTTTTCCATGTTAATTTTTTGACATTGAAAGATATGCCTGTTACTGATTAAATTTGGGCTTTTACAAGTGTTCAGTGTGTTCTTTTGAAGTATTGCTGATCAGTCTCATTTTATTTATAATGTTATTACATAGCCATTCTTTCCTTTATTTCCCCAGATAAGCTTACTTTTTTGGGGGTTGGTTTTTTGTTTGTTTGTTTTCCCAGTAACTGTGTTTTAGTAAGTAACTAGTCCGTACAGTATTATTGTACAACTAAACACAAGTCATTTCCTCTCGACCATTCATGCACACTTGCATGACTTTGTTGAAATTTGTGAACGTTTGATGTATCAATTCTGCCTGATTTACTAACAATGCACATGCATGAGGTAATGCTGCACCACTATTCTGTGTGTGTATTTCTGTAGTTGTCATGTTAAGAGTCTTGAAATACCTGTTTTCTTTTACAGACTCAGTTAAATTTACTTCTTGAGAAGCTTCACAGTACTGTAAGTATATATGCAGATGCATAATTTTCTGCCAAAAGTAATAATCTGTTATCTCAACAACATGGCTTACAATAAACGAGATCATTAATTACTTTAGAGTTTGCAGTTACATGACACTTTTGATACATCTTGCTGTGTAGATGATGATTGTTGAGTTACTTGAAAAAAAGCCCATGAATGAATGAAAGTTACACAATTTGAGTAAACAATATGAAATCTGTCTGGGTTTCATTGTCCTTTTTCATCACTTCCTCCATTCACTGGTTATCATTGATGGCTAATTTGCAGAAGATTTAGAGATGTTACTTAGAAGTCAGGCAGATAATTTATCATTAATTTCTGTTTTCAGATTCCATAAAGCTGTTTAAAGTAATGTGTTTCATTTAATTTTTGTGATAAGCTTTAAATGCACAGATGGTCAAAGAACCTGATTCCCCTAAAGAGTGTTTGCTAATGTAGCTGATGTAATTTTATAGTTTGGGGAATTCAACATACCCGTTTTACTATTTTTTTTCAGAACTTGTGTATGTGTAGGGTCACAAAAAAAAAGGAGAGGGGGGGAAACCATGCAAAACAAATGAGGCAAGTGCTGGAGTGTAGCTGACAGATTTTACTGTACTCATGAGGCTGGTCTGAAAGAAAAAGAGATCTCTTTGACAAAGAACACTGGAACTGAGTGAGACCCACCCAGGAAAAAAGTCTCTGGCAAGGCTTGCTGTACTCAGTTTAGCTAACCCATCACTGAGGATGTGGTTCTTAATGTAGAGCTCCCTTGGCAGGTGCTTTTTCACTTAGAGACGAGAGGTGGAAAAAGAGAGGAACACTGCAAACCAGGAGTAATACTGTATTTTCTCAGTTAGTTTTGTTTTAATATATAAGGTATATATATTTTAATATATAAGGTTATCATGAGCAGTCTCCTTTTAGATGAAAATCTGAGTAACTGGATGGTGTTTTGCAAAAGTGTCATCCTTAATGAATATGAAATTATCAGAGAAAGCAGTGGTAGAAATTGCAGAGATAGCACATGTGATGATAAGAGAGGAGCAGACCAGCACAACGTGGTGGAAGGGAGAGTGAAGCTATGAGCCAAATGAAACTGTAGAAGAGAATGTTAGAAGGAAGAAAGGTCAAGTTCATCTGGCATGATTCCAACGTCAAGAGGCTGGTAGCCTGTTCACTGATACGAACTGTGGAGGACTGAGGCATTTGGTGGTTTAACTGTATGCAATCATGAGGACAGAAGAATCTAGCCTGCTGCATTGTAATTAAATTGTACTAATATTAAGAAGAACAGCTGAGTGAAAACTCAAAACTTGAGGGTCCAACTGATAACTGTAATCAGTTGAGATCAGTTACATCAAGACCAAGGCTAGAGTGCAAAACTCATCTATGAGAGAAAAAAAAAAATCTCAGTATTTCTCTTTTACAATACTATTATTTTGTATCTTAATTTTCCCCTACCCTTAATTCTTAACTGACTGTTATTTCAGGAGGCTTAAAACTGCAGATTCTGCTAACTTCTTGTTTTGGTAATAGGGGTCTAGCTTTATTCGCTGTATCAAACCCAATTTAAAGATGACAAATCACCATTTTGAAGGAGGGCAGATCCTCTCTCAGCTTCAGTGTTCAGGTAATGTATTCCTCAGATATTTTTCCCAGTGTTTATTGCTTTGGGCGTTATAGATTGACCTAGGTTTGAAATATGTGAGATGGAAGCAGTATTTCCTGGCTTGAACTATTGCTTTCCAGAAGGTAGCTTATTTACGCCTTACGAACAGTTATTTAGATTCTTGGTAACTTAGCTCTCATTTAAATCAATAGAACCCTAGAAATAATTCATCCGAGCAGCTGTAAGCTTTCTTTTTCACTAGAAGGGTTGATGTAATTTCTATTGACTGTTTTTCTGTTTATTATAATGAGATTTCAGACACCAGGTGCAGATGTAAGAAGCCATGTAACCGTATATTGGTACATAAATTTAGATATCCTGACCTAGAGTAAAATCCTCTGTCTGTATGTTGCCCACAATGCTACTAGGGCAGCAGTTCAGGCCAGAGCAATAAATGCAGTGTTTACAGTAGTCTTTCAAACTCACTTTTCCATAAGTGCATACTTTAGTAACAGTAAAGGAAGCTTAATCTAGTAAAAGTTATAAGTTGAAAAAGCAAGATGTAATGCTATAAAATATCTTTTGAAAAAGAAGGACTTAGAGTAAATAAATCAAATTTCTATTGAAAGTAAATATGCAAAAGATTAATTTTAAAGGTAGCAACTACAAGTTAATGGCTATCTTGATACTAGGAAAAAAATCCTCTCCCTAAAATAAGGAGAAAATGTTATAGGCTTCTGTCATCTGTTCAGTATTAAGTCTTTGTGAATGATGATGACATGATCAAGACATGTTAGAGGCTGCCTCCCAGCTGAATTTTGTGGTTTAATTGTCTGAAAAATGTCTTTGAGTCTTAGGTCATGAACTAGTGGTTAGCATAAAAATCACTGCTTCATTTGCAGTTTACTAAGATCAGCTTTTGTGTGTGTGTTTCTATGAATCTAGGAATGGTGTCTGTTCTGGATTTGATGCAAGGTGGTTTCCCTTCACGAGCTTCATTTCATGAACTATATAATATGTACAAGAAATATTTGCCTGAAAAATTGGCTCGACTGGACCCTAGGCTTTTTTGCAAAGTAAGAAAGAAATGAATTATTTTTTATATCCCCGAAGACAGAAAATGTATTGTGGGGTTTGTTTTTAGGGAGGTTGAACTTTTTCTGTTTCTTTTGTTTGGTTTATTTTGAAGGAGGCAGAATATAATCATAAGTGTTTTCTGTGTTTCAGGCACTATTTAAAGCCTTGGGACTGAATGAAGTTGATTACAAATTTGGGCTGACCAAGGTGTTTTTTAGGCCCGGCAAGGTAATGTTCCTCTTGGGGTTCATGACTGTGAATCTTAGAATAATTTTGGATGGAAGGGACCTCTGAAGGTGACATTGTTCAAAACATTGCTAGAAGCATGGCCAATGTCAATAAGGTTGCCCAGGGTTTTTGTAAATACTGTTCGTTTTCTGTGAAGGAAAGTCACTATTAATACAGATTAATTGGTTTCTTGGTCTTATTGCTAATGCTGCTGTATTCCTAATGCAGTGTTTGTATTCCCAGGTGTTTTACCAGTCACTTAAGACTTACACTGACCACTAAAAAGAGAAAATCAGAGCAAACAAAAAATATTTTAAAGTGAAATATCTTTCTGTGATTCTGAACATTGCTGCTGCTATGGAGAGAAAGGAGATGAAGTAGGGAGCTGTTGTGACTAGAAAGGAAAATTACTGTAGTCCCAGAAGAATTTGCTTACTGTCATAATTACCAAAAAGTAGAAGTGCAGGACTTTCAGAAAAGGTTGCCTTTAATTGGATTTGTATACAAAGGATAAAAATAGAGAGGTGCCTTCAGGGATTTATTTTTAACCATATACAGAATTAGGGGTGTCTTGAAGTGGTGGAAGGCCAGAGTAAGTGTTCAGGATATAAAGAAACAATTTTTTAAATTTTTGGCAAGAGATATTTTTATTTATTATATATGATTGGATTATTCAGAATGCTAAGTGTTACACATTAATTAAACAAACAAAAATTTCCAGTAGTCATTTCTGTTATCATTAAAGAATAAAGTGATGCCAGACATACCTGCTCACTTGAATTAATTGAAATGTGCTGTAATGATGACATACAGTTTACATGAAAAACATTGTACTTTTTAAACCCAACTTGCTCCTAAATAATAATGTCTAACACTCTCTGTTACCCTATTTGGTAAAACTTTTTTTTTTCATTATTTAGTTTGCAGAGTTTGATCAGATAATGAAGTCTGATCCAGATCACTTAGCAGAGCTTGTTAAACGAGTGAATCGTTGGCTTATCTGCAGTCGTTGGAAAAAGGTTCAATGGTGTTCTCTCTCAGTGATTAAATGTACGTATTTTATGTTTTATTAAATCAAAGTGTTAAAAATACAACAAATCAATTATCACCTTGAAATGCAGCTTAAGGACGTGCATAGTGGGTGGTTGCATACTAAAGTCTGAGTAATCGCTTTCAAGGTTGGTGAGATTTTTTTATGGTTTCTATTAGGTACATAGAGGGGGGCTTAGAGCAGAGCAAAGGTTTTTAAAAGTGGGACAGAAAGGCCACCACCAGCCTCCTGTGTGCAGTCTGTTCGAGTGCTTCCTGAAGCCTGGGTAAACACTGGCACAGAAGTAACTGGCTGTCCCAGGTCATGTGGGGCAGAGACTTCTGCATC